TATTATTCTATCATTCTATGAGTTCTGGAAGCATACCTTCTAGAAATGAACTTCTCTGAACTGGTGCTTTGGCCCCTGGTCTGCATCCTTACCTAGGAACAAGTTGCACTGAGCTCATTGGGAATTATTTCTGAGTAGGCAAACACACGGTCAGGCTGCAAAAAAAAAAAGATAAATTTGTTTTTAGTATCCAGAACAGGGTTGACAACTTATTTTTCTGGCAAAGCTCCTGCATCTACAAGTATCTGCATGACCAGCATGAAGAAATCAAACAGACAGAGATTTAAAGAAACCATTGTTGCAACCATGGAGTGGGGCAAATATGCATGAAAGACTTGGAGTTAGACTGAAGGAACAGCTTTGCCATTTCCCTCTTCAAATAAGATGAAATATGATGACTGCCACTCGAGACACACTGTGAAAGATGTGCTGCTTGCAACTTCACCCTTGCCGTTCGTACTGTTATTCCCACCTGTGCATTTGACTTGCCAAAATCTCACAGAAACGTCTGCAGGCACGCAACTGGCCAGCTGTTATAGAGCAAGTTGGGCGGGTATGGCTGATCTGATTAATTTGTTTCCATGAAATCTATTTGATTTTATCCTTCACCTAAAGTCAATTACTTGCCACTTGGAGACAGAACTGTTTGCACACAGTCACAGTTTGCCTTGCAGCAAATTATGCCAAGTGGTGATAAAATAGTACTGAATCAGAATGCCATTGTGTGTACTTGATTTTATGGTGGTGCCATTTTCTGAACAAAGGGCAAGATGAGAGCCAGACAAGGTCCAGTATTTCTGATTAATAACTCTAAAGTTCAAGGCCATTCCTGGAAGGCTTCTAGATGTGACTCCCAAGATTGTATGTATGTTTGAATATCCTGTGATATATCAACAAATCAGAGAGTTATGTGTGTGTTTTAAAGACTAAAACTGTAGGGGAAAGTTGCACAGTTAATTAACACATTTAGTCACAGTTCCTTCCAAAGAGGTCTGAGTCTATTTGCACAGCACCACAAAAGCTGCGGTTTTGAAAAACACTTCTCTGGGGCAGGAATCCTTCTAAATCATTACAGATCTGCTTTCCAATTGCAGTCTCCCAAAGGTGATACAAAAAGCACAAGAAGGGAAAGGCAGCTTTGCTACTGGAGGGTTGGAGGTAGCATTTTTATAAACCAAATAAAGAAAGGAAATTAAGTGCATGCTTTATTTGAGCCGTAGAATCTTACAGCCATCATTCCCATGGCTGCAGCAAGCCATGTTCAAGGCAGAACAGCATATGGTATCTGGTGACCACCAAAAATTCAAGGTGCACATTCTCCCACGCTAGACAACTAGCTTTGGAACATGAGGGTCATTGAAAGAGAGAAAGCGAATGAGGAAAAATCATAATAAATGGACAATAATTTGCTCCACTGTGTCCCTTAAAAATCTGCTTACTGAGCAGCTGCCTCACTCCGCCTAGGGTAGGGCCAACCATGTCAATTCTCTCCTCCCACTGGAAAGCCCACGTCTCTCCTCACACTGTTCCAGATGGTCCTCCATGTTTCCAAAGCAGTTTTAAGGTGACACATAGAGAGAACTAGCATAGATCATGGTGAAAAAATCCTGTGACTGGAATTTTGCTCACAGGAGCTCAGGATTCAAGTACAGTGGGATCAGTATTTGCAGCTTCACTTTTCCACAGCCTGAAAACATTTAAAGAAAAAAATTGAAATATGTATGTCCACAATATATTTACCAGAACTGGTTACTAGAGGGAGCCAGGGACCATGCTATGTACTTTTGTTGTAGAAGAATACATAGCATGGTCTCTTTCTCCCTCTGGTGGCCAGTTCTGGTAATACATCATGAAAATATGTATTTCTGGAATTCCCCCCTCCCCTTTTACCATGCTATGTATAGGGTTTGCTTTTATCCATGGTTTTCAGCATCTGGGATGGGGGCTTGGAATCAACTCCCTATGAATACAAGGGTCTTACTGTATGTCAGTGTGCAAGTACATATTAACTTGCACATGAATATTTAGAAATGAAATTTTAAAGCTATTTCAATATTTTTTTCTCCTTACAGCCTGGCTCTGTATAAACCTGGCATATACTTGTTGTCTGTTGAGAAAACATGTCTATGAAGTTGTACAAGCTGAGCTGTGAAAATTTTCCCCTTAAGATTAAGAATTCTTGAGATTCTTGCAGTGGTGAACTTAAAATTTGATTTCTGTTGCATTTTGCAATGGTGAAAGGGCAATCAAGTAAGTGTTCTCCACAATCTGGTAGGCTCTCTGTTGTATGCCCAGCCTCACAGCCAGCTATATAATTTGTTGTGGGAGCAGTCATGCAACAGCATTCTGCCAGATTTGAAAAAAACTTACAGGATTTCCCTAAAATCTGAACAGGAGACTAGCCATGGATTCTAGAATTTGGACAGTGATGTGAAATGGAATTCTCAATATGCATGCCTGCAGGTAGATTACATGCATTCATGGTTTATGGTTGAAAGAATTCTTCACAGGGACATAAAGTTGATGCAGCAGAAATACATCTAACAGCCCAGAAGTCAAATATAAGTACAGTGGTGCCCCGCATAGCGCTATGGGGAAACATCGCTATATGGAAAGTAAAAACCCATTGGAATGCATTAAACTTCATTTAATGCGTTCCAGTGGGGCCCAAACTCACCTTTCAGCGAAGTTTCTCCATAGAGCTGCCATTTTCACACCCTCGGTAAGCGAGAGCAGGGTGCGAAAATGCTGCGCGGGGCCATTTTGGGTGTCCGGTGGCCATTTTGGAACTGCCGATCAGCTGTTTAAAAAAATCGCTATGTGAAAATCGGTAAGCGAAATGCTTACCGATCGCCGCAAAGCGATTTTTGTCCATTGGAAACATCGGTATGCGATCGCATTAGCGATCGCAAAATCCGCATCGCTATGCGGATTCATCGTTAAATGGTGCGCTCGTTATGCGAGGCACCACTGTACTTTATGGGCAGTTATGCAGGCTACATATTGCAAGCTGGGTACTCAATTTATTGACCACAGAAGAATGGAAGGCTGAGTGAACCTTGAGCCAGCTACCTGGGATTGAACCTGAGCCATGAGCAGAGTTTGGCTTCAGTGCTGCAGTTTAATCACTGTGCCACGAAGGTCTTATATAATTATGTGCCATCAAGTCAATTCTGACTAACGGCAACCTTTTTTCAGGGTTTTCCAGGTAGACAATACCAGAAGTGGTTTACCATTTCCTTCTTCTGGGGCAACCTGAGACTGTGCAGTTTGTCAAAGGCCACACAGGCTGGCTCTGCTCACAAAAGCCACAGTGAGGGAATAAAACTCCCAAACTTTGGCTGCCAATCTATGAATATAACCATCATTTCAAGTCTCTGCTCCAAGAGGAAATTGATCACACATCAAAATAAAACAAAAGTGGGGAACAAAGCAGACTCAAACGTGGCCAGAAAATGTAGCTTAGGGGACAGAAATGAAGCAGGAGAACAACCTATAGGGTTCTACGAAGCCAATAATCTGTTTATTATAAATACATGCTTCAAACAACCAAACAGACGGCTATACATGTGGACAATACCAGATGGTTAATATAGAAATTGTGGTTAATATAGAAATTAAATAGACTACATAATTGGAAGCAGGAGATGGGGAAATTATTCCTTCTTCCAGAACAATACCAGGAGCGAATTGTGGTACCAATCATGAACTGATAATAGCCAACATTAGAGTAAAGTTGAAAAAGAATACTAAAAGAAACTGTATTGCCAAAATATAATTCATACAACATTCCTGATGAAATTAAACTCCACATAAGGAACAGATTTTCATTAATAAACTCAATTGACCATGAACCAGAACTGTAGATTGAAACCAGAGATATTATTAGGGAAGAAAGCAAAAATACAATTCCTATAGTAAAAAGAAAAGAAAAACCGATTGATGGTGGAAGAAACACTTAAAATTGCAAAGGACAGATGACAAAAAAAAGTAAAAGGTGACAAAACAGGGTCAGAATCCTGAATGCAGTTTTTCAAGTGACTGTCACATAGAGACAAAACTACTACTACAACCAGTGCACAAAAACAGAGAACAAGAAAAGGGGGGGAAACAAGAGGTCTCTTTCAGAAAAACCAAGAAATCAAGGGGAAAGTTGAGCCTAGATTAGGATTGCTGAATGACCAACAGGGAATCACACTAATTGACCACAAGAAAATAAAGAGAAGGTGGAAACAATGTGCTGAAAACCTATATAGAAGAGATAAAAGGATGACAGACCCCTTTGAAGAGAAATCCGATGATGAAGAACCTGCAGTTCTAGAAAATGAAGTGAAAGCTACTCAGAAAGTACTGGGAAGAAATAAATAATCAGGAGTAGATTAAAAAAAAATAGAACTATTTCAAGCCAGAAATAATAAGTCTGCAAAGATCCTAACAATATGCTAGCAAATATGGAAAACAAAACAATGACCTATAAATTTGAAATATTCAATATACATTCCAATCCCTTAAAAAAGAAGCTGCCAAAGAGTGCACTAACTATAGAACCATTGGTGTAATTTCCCATGCAAGCAAAGTGATACTCAAGGTGTTGCAACAAAGGCTTTTACCTTATGTGCAACAAGAAATGTCTGGTGTTCAAGATGGATTATGAAAAGGAAGAGGCATTTAAGATCATATTGCAAAAATTAGGTATCCGGACACCAATTTGAGCCAACCGACTGGTGAGAAATTGTGTGCTATGTTTGTCAAGACAGCTTTCAGCCCTCATAGATTCTTATTTCTAACTACTTGCTATCTGTACTGTACAGTTGGAACTTTAAAGGAAAGGTAGCAAACAGCAGTAAACAGCGTTAGCCTTCCCATGTAAAAACAACACTAAAGCAACTCTGAAAGAACTACAGAACATTTTCTTATGGGCTAACTCATTCTCCACTGTTAAATCAACTATCCTATGAGTATAGCTAGGATTGAAGATTTCCTGGTTGCTGATGGGCTGCCATATTCTGGGACGAATCTTTGCTGTCTTCTCCAATAGTCAGTGAGGAAGCTGAGCTGATGTGCTCAAAGTAGACATCACGAAGATAGAATTTCACAGCTGTTCCAGTTTTCTCTCTTGGGAGCTTGAGACTTAGTCAGAAAAATGATGATGTATTGGCATCTGTGAAATTAATGTTAGCTATAAACGTAATGTGGATTCTCCTTCCAACACACACACACACACAGACACACACACACAGACAGACAGGCAAACACACACACACACACACACACACACACACACACACACACACACCAACTTCCAAGTATAATTCTTTTGCCTCTTGGGTGAATGAATGACATTGATGAAAGGAAGATGTAATAAAAGACGTATCAATTGAATTTCTGTCTAGGCCAGAAGCTGACCTTTCCAAATTGGAGGCGGAAGAGCTCCCTCCAGTCTTAAATAAAAGGGAGCCAAAGAACTGCTTAGGGTCAGGCACAGGGCTTAACACTTACTCAGTGCAATGCTTGGCTGTTATTATTGGGTTTTGACATTTTATGAGAAGTGCTCAAGATGTTAAACACTGACATAAAAGCAGGAATAAAACTTTAAAAGCCTTTCAACGTACTTTCACCCTGAAACTAGGTGGCGGGAGGGGGGGGTTCCTTGGAAGAGAAGTGGGCAGGGAAAGAAACTGGCCGTTCTGGGGGACTCTGGCACTTGTGCTGCTGCTGCTGCTCCTCCAGCTCTGTGTCTTTTCCAAATTTTGAGAGGCTCCTGGAACAAAAATCTCCACGGCTCCATTATCAGTGTTACTGACACCCAATGATTTGCCTTCTCTCTGTCTTGCCTTCTAAGTGTTTTGGACTACATCTCCCTCAATCTGCAGCCAGTGACAATTCATAACTACAAGTTATGAGATGAGACTAGTTGTCCAAGGACAACGGGTTGCCTACTCCAGTCAATGTGGAAGCTGTACCACTGCCGATAGCAAGACCAGTGGAGTTTGCTCCTTACTTCCCACCCCCCTCTGCTCATAAAATGGGATAGGGTAACTGCAGTGCTTAAAAATGTTACTTTTTTGGATGACCTTGTCAGAGTCCCACAAACCAAAGAGTAACACTTCTAATGACTGCCTGGAGGAACTGAAAGGAGAAGAAGAGAAAGGAAGGAGTAAGGAGAACCCCACTGGACTCTTGTTGTTGTTTTGACTTATATACTGCCCCATAGTGCTAGAGCACTCTCTGGTCAGTTTATGATATAATTATGCAAGGAACACTATGTCCCCCCAGTGAGGTGGGTACTCGGAGGAGTGGAAAGCTGACTCAATCTTTAGCTGGTTACCTGAATATCGAGATTGAATTCAGGTCACGAGCAGAGGCTTGAGTGCAATACTGCAGTTTAACCACTGTGTCATGGGTCTCATGTGGGCCTTGACAGGTGCCCAGTAATGGCCACAGCTGGCACCAGGCCTAATTTTAAAGATGTATTTGTTTCTCCAAATCCTGAATGAACATTTTTCCCCAATAGCATTGTTATTAATTCGTTGATAAAATTATATTTAGTAGTATTGGTGGAAATTCTTCCGTATACAAAATGAAATAGAGCTTTGATCTAATTCACAACTTCAATTAATGACAGTCTTCATTTCAGCAGAATGTTGGCTACACATTTAGAAACAGAACAGTCACTCTTGTGAAAGTGTTGCAGCCAGAAACTGTTCTGGAGACATGGAAAGTTAGTTAGCTGATCAATTTTGAAAAGCCCTCTGGGCATTCACAAAAATCTCCAAATGTGTCCATTCATCCTTGACTGACCTTTGCTAAAACTGATTATCTGCAAAGGCTTGAAAGCTGGACAGATGTGTGATCCTACCTCCTTGCTAGTCTTTAAAAGGCTAGTTTTTCCATTTACAAATGGCTTTATTTTAACAAGTAGATGGTGCAAAAGATGGATTTTTTAAAATGAAAGAAAAGAGACATCTCAGATGCCTCTGCTAGATTTATCACATGAATGTCTCTCATGCTGCAACGTTCCCCTGGTGCTGTGTGGCATTGATTCACATATATCCTGCTCCTGCCAGCTTGTCCAAGAAGAACTGCTGACAGAGGCACTGGGTGCTGTTCTTCTCAGCTATTTGCCTTGTTTAATCAGAAGCTCTGAATGCATACAGCTCTTGCCCACCCACTCACTGTTATGCACACAGTACGTTCTGTTCCACATTATATTACAAACAATACATGCTCCTGCTGCCTGAAACTTCCAGTGACTTCATTGCATCTGGTTACAGATAAGCACCAGTGCACTAATTTTGCCACTCTATCATGTCTGATTTTGTAATCTGTTTGTGCAATTTTTGGACATTCACAGAGAGGTAGGTGCACACAGTTTCACCTTTTTCTTGGCAGAGTCAACATTTGCTGTGAGCACTAATTCCTTGAAGCTTGGTTTTCATCACATTTATTTCTAGTTTTTGTTTTTGCGCAGCAAAAGTTAAGCGTTCAATTGCTTTCTTAACGGTTCCCAGTTTTAGCCATGCCCATGTTAAATTATTATCCTACTTTCCATCAATATTTCTCAGGTGTTGTCCATATAGTGTTTTATTTTTCAAACTGTTTAATTTATTTTGAATTTGTTGTTTCTTATATTGAGTCTTTGTTTCTCTTTTCAAAATATTCTCCATTTTCATCACCTTAAGTAATTTTTCTCTACTTGTACTAATATAATCATCTAGGCTTCTTTTTCCCTCCTCTACTACTTGCTTTATTTGCAGTAATCCATGATACCCTTTTTATGGTAAATATAATCTGTCCGCATCACTTTTGGGATGTAGCATATGATGTATGCTAATTAGTTTCTATGTTTTTTTATCCAATTCTTCTAATTCATTTTAGGTCCAATCCATTATTCCTGCTGGGTATCTAATTACTGGAACTGCCTATGTGTTTATGGCTTTGATTGTATTTCCACCATTTAATTTTGATTTTAAGATTTTTCTCAGTCTCTTGTATTCCCTTTCTGTCAGTTCTTCAATTTTTGTGTGCATGATATTGTCTACTTCTAGTATTCCAAGGTATTTATGATTTTCATCATTGATAGTGATTTTATAATGCCATTTTTAAACTCTATTCCATCTAGTTTTTGAATCTTGCCACAGTGTATAGACAGAGCTGCACATTTGTAAATTCCAAATTTTATTTGAATATCTTCACTAAATATTTGCACTGTGCTTAGCAGTTGAACTCCCAGCTTCTGGCTCTGCAGCCAGATACCTAAAACATTGAATTATACAGCCTGCACTGTAATAAATAAATAAATAAATAAACACACACACACCACACACACACACACACACACACACACACACACATACACACACACACACACACACACACACACACACACTCTTCTTTGTGTTGCTATATCTGCTCATTGTTACTCAGGCTGGCTGATCACTCATTTTGCCCAGTTCAGAGATCAGAAAAACATTTTCTACTTTACTCTCTTATAAAGCAGGCCACCATACAGGAGCCAACCTACCACAAGCCATGGCAGGCCCTTATAGTGACCCTAGTAAGGCTTTTAGGGCACATGGGATATTTAAAGAGTGGTTTTATCAGTTCCACTCCCCATGGCCTCCTGAGTCCCAATCTGTCACTCTTATCCTCTACACGCAGGGGTCCCCAACCTTTGGGCCTCCAGATGTTCTTGGACTTCAACTCCCAGAAATCCTGGCCAGCAGAGTTGGTGGTGAAGGCTTCTGGGAGTTATAGTCCAAGAACATCTGGAGGCCCAATGTCGGGACCACAGCTCTACAGCACAAACTGGATTCTGAAGTTACTCACTGAGAATGCCAGTGAGAGGTCCTAATTATGTTATCTTCTGCAGGGAGTTAAGACATACAGAAACTCATTAAAATAACAACAGAGGTTGTTGTTGTTGTTGTCTTAAGGACCAACTGTTTCATAATCTTCTTTCTGCTCCTCTTCAGCCTATGGAATGAGGGTTGTGGAGGACACACATACAATACAAGGATCCCAGGCACTAAACATACTGCCCCAACTCTTTTAAATTTCAAAGCCTGCCTATTAATGAATTGTTGTTCTTGTTTAGTTGTTGTGTCCGTCTGGTTGTGACCCCATGAACCAGAGCATTCCAGGCCTTCCTGTCTTCCACTGCCTCCTGGAGTTTGGTCAAATTCATGTTGGTAGCTTCAATGACACTGTCCAACGATCTCGTCTTCTGTCGTCCCCTTCTCCTCTTGCCTTCACTCTTTCCCAACATCAGGGGCTTTTCCAGGGAGTCTTCTCTTCTCATGAGGTGGCCAAAGTATTGGAGCCTCAGCTTCAGGATCTTTCCTTCCAGTGAGTACTCAGGATTGATTTCCTTTAGAATGGATAGGTTTTTTCTCCTTGCAGTCCAGGGGACTTTTAAGAGTCTCCTCCAGCACCACAATTAAAAAGCATCAGTTCTTCAGTGGTCAGCCTTCTTTATGGTCCAGCTCACACTTCCATACATCGCTACTGGAAAAACCATAGCTTTGACTATGCAGACCTTTGTCGGCAAGGTGATGTCTCTGCATTTTAAGATGCTGTTGAGGTTTGTGATTGCTTTCCTGCCAAGAAGCAGGCATCTTTTAATTTCATGGCTGCTGTCACCCTCTGCAGAGATCCTGGAGCCCAAGAAAGTAAAATCTGTAACTGCTTCCATATCTTCCCCTTCTATTTCCCAGGAGGTGATGGGACCAGGGGCCATGATCTTAGTTTTTTTTGAGCTTGAGCTTCAGACTATTTTCGCGCTCTCCTCTTTCACCCTCATTAAGAGGTTCGTTAAGTCCTCCTCACTTTCTGCCTTCAGAGTGGTATAATCTGCATATCGGAGGCTGTTGATATTTCTTCTGGCACTCCTAATTCCGGTTTGGGATTCCTCCAATCCTGTATTTCGAATGATGTATTCTGCATATAAGTTAAATAAGCAGGGAGACAATATACAGCCTTGTCGTACTCCTTTCCCAATTTTGAACCAATCAGTTGTTCCATATCCAGTTCTAACTGTTGCTGCCTGTCCCACATATAGATTTCTCAGGAGATAGATAAGGTGGTCAGGCACTCCCATTTCTTTAAGAACTTGCCATAGTTTGTTGCACCTTAAAATATTAAAAATGGGAGAGGGAATATCCATGGGAAACAAATGGCCATTTACTTACTTACTGTGTAACAGGTTGAATAAAAGGGATTCTTGATAGTTACAAGCCATTCCTGGAACTCTGCATTGATGCAATTCACTGCCCTGTGTGTACAGTATTCATAAACATTGTAGTTTAGGTTAGATATTTGGAATACATGTATGGATCTTAACATTTTTATTTAAGGACTTGTGATTACATCTCCCTTTGCAGTCAATCTGCCTTTGTTCTCTGACTAAGAGAAGCACCTTTTCTCTCAGAGCTTCATGAGCCACCTTGTGCATTATTGATTTAGCATAGCAAGCAATAAGTTAAAAGTTGTGAAGTACTTCGCACAAGCCCTGTGAGTGATATTTTGTCTGCCTCCCCCCTTGAGCTAGATTGCCTTGTGGAAAATTCAGCTGGAAACACTAGCTGCTACCATGGAAACACATTCTTCTACTACAGTGAGCTGGTTTATATGACTCATCATTACCATAGGTAATAATCATCCTAAGGAATAATTACATTGTGAGAGGGGCGAGAGTTGCCAGCATATACATAGCAGAGTTTGACTCTCCTATTCTGGAAGCAGAGTGCAGGGGCTAAATGGATCTTTGTTTTGATACAGTATATTTGAAGAACAACCTGAGCATGTGCAGAGTGTCGTTCCTTACCACACTGAACAGTCAGTGCTGGTCTGCCGATTTAAAGGGAAGGTTTGCCAGCTTGAAAGTCAATGTTTCCTTTTGGAAATGATTTACCTAAAATGCAATGCAACCTCAAGCAGGCCTATTTAGGATGAGTCTGACTAAATTCAGTGGGACTTACTTTCAGATACATATGAACCCAAGCAAATACTATTAGTTCATTTATTAATCTACATTTCCCTTGACAGAATGGAGGATGCTGCCAAAGATTTAGATTGAGTTTGTGTTGCTTGCCACATAAAATGATAGATTGGTTTTTATTTGGTTCTTACCATATAAACCAGATATTTTCTTCTGCTCTCTACCTTTTCTAAGCATACTTGCTCAGACGTCAGCACCAAAGTGTCCCCCTTATTGTTGGAAATCCTTGTTGAGTCAGTATAGAAAAAGAAATCCCATGATATTTGTTTACAGTATTGTTGTTTAATAAATATGATAAGCAGGCTTCCAGGTATGAACGGAAAAAGGAATTGGATTGTCCTATTTTGCCTTTAAAAACATAACAATGGAAATTTGAATTCGCTTCCATACCATGTGCATGCCTGGATCTTGAGCAGCAAATTATTTCCAGGGGAGAAAGTTTAGGTTACACCAGCTGCCACATCACCTTTTTAGTAGCAATCTGTGCAACCTGTTTAATGGCTGGCAATGAAGTTTACCTGATGTGGCTTTTAAATATGTGATCTGCTCAGGTCCAGTTGCAGTTCTTCTGGTGGGGAAGTCATACACTTGTTCTAATTTTGTACTGGAATATTCTCTGGGTTTTGTTGTTGATGATAATGATATTTATGTGTTTTTAATTGCCCATTTCCTGCAGATTAATCACTTGCAAATGAAAATGGATTCTCTGTGTTTTTAGTATGGTATATTACAATAATGGAAAGACAGATGCCCACCTCATGTTATTCAATGTATTTGAGGGCCTTGCAGGTCTATCAGCATTTGAATGCATGGTATATAGACTTCGTAGGAATATATTTTTAGACATTTGTAATGCATTCACAAAAGCTTATGTATAGATGATGACGATGACAACCAATACTTGGTGTGGTTATAGTTGCCTTTTTTGTTGCTGTTCTTTTTTTTGCACAATAAAAAGTAAATAGAAAAAAAATCAGGTGAGTTGGCAAAGCTACATACAAGTCTTTTGAACACAGTTAAAACTGACCATTTACTTTTGCATGACAGATCATTTGTGAAATCCAACATCACATGAATAATCTTCTGTTCCCACACTCGGTCTTTGCCTTGACCTCTTACTGCAGTCTCTTGCTCATCCATAAAATGCACCCCAGAAGATCCCTCTACCCCACTGCTGGGGAGGTTTTGACAGTGCAGAGAAGGTTTGCACAATGAAATGTGGGGGAGGGGGAATGACAGGCCCCCTCTCCATGCTGCTGACAAATGCTGTTCTATAAACCGGAGGGATTACTCAGGTCCTACTCTGCACTATTAGAGAAAAATCTTAAATGTAATTGGATTAAAAGAAAATCTCTTATTTTGTACTATTCTTCCCCCTCCCCAAGGATACAATACATTGCCCTAATGTCTTGATGGGAGAACCTCAGAGCCTTCTAAAAGTACTTACTTGGAGACATGCTTCAGACAGGATAGATATCTTGTAGCTAAATGTCTGATAACACATACATGTGTTTCTGCTTTAAAAGATGGGAGGGCCAGACGCTATTTACATGTAAAGTCATGCTAGACTTTTCAAATGCAGGTCTCCTTCAAAATCATGCAGGTTTCCGGAGCTTGAAATTTTTACTTTTATTGACTACGATTCCCACCCCACCCCCTAGTTTAATTTAAATAAATAATAAAAAGAAAGTGCAGTGCCAAACTCTGTGCCTTATCATAGCTGCAAATGGGGTTGTCACTCATGTTCTCTCTCCTAGCATCCACTAACTACAGCAAGACTGCAACAAGTCTCCAGTTACATATTCCAGTGGACATGGGATTACAGATCAAGCTACACATTATTCATCTCCCCTGTGATATTTATTTTCACGGTTCTTTACACTTGAAGGTTTTGGGGGGTTTTTTTGTACCAGGCGGCTTTCTGGAGTAACAAAATGATCTTTAGCTGGTGCTGAATAATTCATCGCTTTGCTGGAATTTATAGTAAGGCCGAAGCATTTTCCACACATGTTTGGAGTGGGGCAGCCATGCAAGGCCTCTCCAGGATTAAAAAGGCACTTGTAAATCATCCCTGCTAAGTGGTATCCTATTATAGATCTTCCTTAAGAAGATGCTGTCTGCTTTGTTAATTTGCTTGATGACTGCCACCTGGAGTTATATTTCAATGACAAGCAAGAAAGAGCCGTCTCTCTCAGGCTGACAAGGAAAAGGCCTCTTTTGCAGAAAGTAGACTAGTTGCTTTGGCAGTTTTGTCGGGTGAAGGGAAAAGGAAAGGTCTGTCTAACCGCACGATTTAGACTTAAATGAAATTTTAAGAATTTTATTTACAAGTTGCTGCAAGACAGGCCCCTTTAATGGTTTCAGGTGTATGCTTTTGTCTTCAGTCCTTTTGACCTTCTGGTTTCAATCTTCTGATAGCCTTGCAACAACAACAACAAAATGCATTAAAAGGCCTGTAGAAAATGCATGATAACCAACCAATGGATTATGAATCATGAATGATGCCTCCCACTCAGGAGTTAGAAATAGAGATGGGTATGAACAGTCAGTTTGGCAGTTCCTGCCAATTCGTTTATGGACCAAACAAGTTTTCAGTGTTTTCAAAGCCTCTCCTCCTCAGGTGGGTGCCCACTTGGAGGCAGGGGGCTGGCTTCCCTGCCCTGCCTTCTCCAGGTACTGCCCCTGAGTGGGTACCTGCTATAGGAGGTTGGGCTTTGAAGTGCCAAGCACCTGTTCAACTGATAAACAATCCAGCACAAAACACCAAACTGGCGTTTCTAGCCAGTTAGAAATAACTGGTTAGAAACAAGAAGTTGCTTATAATACACTGTAATTATTTGTTGTTGTTTTTCAGTACCGAAGGTATAACTTCACTATGTTACACAGGTTCGTTCTTTTTCTGGCGCAGCTGGAATGTTTAGTTGTGTTTATAGTTATAAGAGATGTGTCCTTATCAAATGGTGAAAGAGGAAGATAAAAGTACTGGCCTTTGCTGTGCCTCCTGCTCTGTTGCAGAAAAGAATAGAGTGTGTTTTGCATCACCCGAAAGCAGCTTATAGCATTCTATTTTTAAAAAATAGTTACGTCAAGTAACTATTATAGTAACTGTTAAATAATGAAGAGTAAATAGTTACTTCTTACATTTGTACTCATAATGGCAGCTAATTACTTTTCACTTTACAGATGTAATGACAATTAATTACTTTCCAAAAAATAAGTTTCCCTGCCCTGGTTTTCCCAGGTGCTTTGAAAAGCCTTCTACAGATCAAGCTACACATTTACTACGTCCACTGGAAAGACAGTAAACATACAAAGATGTCAAATGTTATGCAAGGCAAATTGTATGGTTGGTGATTGCACAGCCAGCCCTCCCAGTAGTTAGTGTGAGGTAGCACACCAGTGGATTATTATTTTTGTGGTACCACTAAAAGTAAGCAAATTTTCTACAGTGCAGGTATTTGATTTATTTAGAACATGTTCATACTGCTGCGTGTAGTAGTGCTCTGAATAACAACTCCCATAGTCCCTAACCAATGGGCTCCTTGGGATCATATTACAAGTAAACTAATTATGAGGCTGCCAATGCCTGGATTACAAAGTTTACCTCAGTCCAGGAAAGGATGGAACTCTCAGACCAACAGAAATTAGCAAGATGTCCTACTTAAGACAAAGTATCCAAACCTCTAGTGTCCAAAATGAATCTAAGAGCAGTCCCATGGTATATACACAAACAGCATAACAAGCAACATTTCTTCAGAGAGGTGGAGCACAGGGGAAAACCCAATCCAGAGCAAAGAAATGCTCCACCATGATTTATGTCCATGAGAGATATTTAAAACTCCATCCCACCCACTCCTTACCTTGCGCTAGGAATCACAACAGAACATTGTGCCCATTTCTCCCCCAAACTTTGCCTTCCCTACCTCTGTGATGTCATAAGGGTTCTTTCGTATGACATCACACAGATCTGTCCTGGTCTCAGATTTTGGACCTAAATTTCTTGGGAAGGGGATACCAATAGCCTGACAATTCTAAGTAGACACCATCAGCAACTCCTTACCTTGCGCTAGGAATCACAACAGAACATTGTGCCCATTTCTCCCCCAAACTTTGCCTTCCCTACCTCTGTGATGTCATAAGGGTTCTTTCGTATGACATCACACAGATCTGTCCTGGTCTCAGATTTTGGACCTAAATTTCTTGGGAAGGGGATACCAATAGCCTGACAATTCTAAGTAGACACCATCAGCATACTGCTGCCTTATGACATCATACAGATCTGTCCCGGTCTCAGATTTTGGACCTGAATTCTTGGGAAGGGGATACCAATAGACTGACAATTCTAAGTAGACACCATCAGCATACTGCTGCCACTGAATGTCTGCTCTCCTACTGATCATCCTTCCATGGCTTCATGGAGCTGATAAAAAACATAGGAAAAAAATTGAGCCCAGCGACACAATAGACAGCATAACTGCTAGCATGCCAACCACTGGTTGATACTCCTTGGATATAGCCTTGTAAATACTGTAGTACCATGCAATCAACTCCAAGCTGAGGGAGATAATCCTAGAAGACAACATCGGCAATGTTATCAAAAGCTACAATGGAACCAAGCTGGAACCTCCCTTCTCTCTTCCTTCAAATAAGGAGAGCCAACTGGACCACCAAGGCCTTGTGGGTCCCAAACAAAAGAAATATATATCCCTGTTTTATAATATATACATATTATATAAAACAGGAGTATGTTACTGACATTTAAAAGTACACTTTTCCTTGTTTAGAGCTCCACTTGTACTTGTTTTTAAGCAGAAAAGCTAGCAGTGCAATCTAGTACATATCTATTCATAAATAAGCTTTTTGCTTTTGTCCTTCATGAAACAACAACTAATTGCATCTCTGAAATGTCAACTGGAACAATCCCAATTTGAATCAATTCTGATTTCATAATTCCATTTGCCCTGTTTAGTTTTGGTACTCAGTTACTGGAACTTTTCTTTTAAAGCCTTGGCTCATCTTTACCTTCTTCCCATTCTATGTATTGCCTCTATAGTCTTGTTCTATTTCTCTCTACTGTTAAGCCTCACAGTGGCTGTCCCATCCATGCACACTTCTTTGGATTTTGCACAGCCAAGCAAAGTTTAGAGTCAGTAATGCTGGGAGGGATGCACAGCTGTTTGTGTGCATCACTAGTGTTTTGTTAAAACAAAACGTAAGCTCACCTGCTCCACAAAATTCACCAGGGGGAAAAATACCAGCAAGAAAGGTTGTTCTATAGAAAATGAAGCAAGCTTGTTAAGCTCCAGAAAGCAGGGCTAGAAGTAAAGGGTGGAAACTGGAAGCACATTTCAGCTCAACGGTAAGAAATCCTTCTGAACAATAAACACAATAAGACAATGGAGACGATGAGTTCTCTTTTGCTGGAGGTATTTAAGCAAAGGCTGTCTCAACAAGTATCAAGGATGCTGTCTCTGTGCAAATTCTCCACTGATGGGCAGCTTGGATTAGATTACCTTCACAATCCCTTCTGATGCCAAATAAATCTCAGAGTTTATAAGGCGTAATTCAGTTCTGTTTTGAAATGTATGGAGCCCACAAACCTTGAGGACACTGTGCTAACCTCTCCACGTGAACCAAGCCCCCACTCCAAACTCTGCGAGTCCTGGCTCACATGGAGAAGCTACTGAGCACCACATTTCTCTGATTCAAGATAAGGTTTGGGAGTAGGGCTAGTGTGGTCCCCTTTAAGATGTGTGAGCTATGCACACTCTAAAACAGCAGTTTCCAATGTTGGGTACCAGATGCTGGACTACAACTCCCAGAAATCCTGGTCAGTGTTAATCCAATAACATCTGGGGATCCAAGGTTGGGAACCATTGCTCTAACCATGACTGATCAGGACTGTATTCACCATGGAAAATCTTAAATAGAGGAAATAACTAAAAGAAAATCTATCAAGAAATATGCTACAGTGAGCACTGCTGTACAGAAGTTTAAAATTATTCTTGTGGGTAAAAATTGAAAGCCTACCATGTGAAACCAGCAAACAGGTGACATATATTTGTACTCTAGTGATGCATTTAGGAGTACAGCTCAAATTGTAATGTGTATTGTTGTATTCTCAAAGGCTTTCACGGCCGGGATCTGATGGTTGTTGTGAGTTTTCCGGGCTGTTTGGCTGTGTTCTTAAGGTTTTCTTCCTAATGTTCTGCCAGTCTCTGTGGTCGGCCTCTTCAGAGGACAGGAGTCAGAATTCTATGCTCTGGTGCAGTTTGTGCACCAGAGCACAGAGTTCTGACTCCTGTCCTCTGAAGATGCCGGCCACAGAGACTGTAGTGTTGTCATTTTTTAAATAAAAACATAGATTTGCTTTAAGCTGTCTACAGCTGGAGCTCTTTATGCACAGTTTAACAGTATGGCAAAAAACAACTGTAGGCAGAGAAATGGCTAATAAATAAGTGTCCTGATAGTCAAGGGATAATTTACAAAAGTGTATAGTTAGCAAATAATG